AATATACATACACTGCGGGTTTTTAATTTTTTTTTTAAAGAGGGAATTTTGCAAAATTCCTGTTCGGGGAGATAACTCCCGTTTGTTTACAATACTAGTTGATCGATGATTTAACCGCGGCAGGGATACGTAGGTAATGAATTTCCCGCGGAGGGAACGCGGTTTACCTGTCTCACCTGGCCAAATCCCACGTTGTGTTTATACCGCGACGGGGCACGGTAAATACGGGATTCGCGTTGCCTGTACTGTACCTCTGGGGGCCCTCATTTAAACAAATTTCATTCTACAATCCCAAGGATGCCTCCATATTAATTTGACTAATCATGGCTTTTCTGTTCCTGAGAAAAAGATTTTTCCTATATAATCCTCTGTAAACTTTGATCCCCCATTGTGACCCCCTCCTATCGGGGGGGGGGGGGGGGGGGGATGTCATGACTTGAACAAACTTGAATCTACACTACCTGAGGACGCTAACATATAAATATGACCAATCATGGCTTTGCTGCTCTTAAGAAGAAGATTTTTAAAGATATTTTCCTATATATTTCTATGTAAAACTTTGATCCCCCATTGTGGCCCCACCCTACCCCTGGGGGTCAGGATTTGAACAAACTTGAATTTACACTACCTGAGGATGCTTCCATATAAATATGACCAATCATGGCTTTGCTGTTCTTAAGAAGAAGATTTTTAAAGATATTTTCCTATATATTTCTATGTAAAATTTTGATCCCCCATTGTGGCCCCACCCTACCCCCCGGGGTCATGATTTGAACAAACTTGAATCTACACTACCTGAGGATATTTCCACATAAGTTTCATCTTTCCTGATCCAGTGGGGTCAGGATTTGAACAAACTTGAATCTACACTACCTGAGGATGCTTCCATATAAATATGACCAATCAGGGCTTTGCTGTTCTTAAGAAGAAGATTTTTAAAGATATTTTCCTATATATTTCTATGTAAAATTTTGATCCCCCATTGTGGCCCCACCCTACCCCCGGGGGTCATGATTTGAACAAACTTGAATCTACACTACCTGAGGATATTTCCACATAAGTTTCATCTTTCCTGGCCCAGTGGTTCTTGAGAAGAAGATTTTTAAATGATGCCATTATTTTTTCACTTATTCCTAATTATCTCCCCTTGAAAAAGGGCGTGACCCTCCATTTGAACAAACTTGAATCCCCTTTACCCAAGGATGCTTCATGGCAAGTTTGGTTGAAATTGGCCCAGTGGTTCTGGAGAAGAGGTCAAAAATGTGAAAATTTTACAGACGGATGGACAGACAGACAGACAGACGGACGATGGACAAAATGTGATCAGAAAAGCTCACTTGAGCTTTCAGCTCAGGTGAGCTAAAAATTAAGTAAAAATATCATATTAAACAATATCAATTTAGTCTTAACAACTTAATATATACCAAATTAATTCTAAAATAGAAGACTGGCCATCAAATGACATATGCTATAAACTGACCAGCAGTTCTTCTGTCTAATTCCCAAAGGATACAGATAAGCACTGCTTGATCAGAGATGCTCTAACAGAAATGATTGAGACAGCTAGCCTTCCTACACTGAACTCAATAATTAATCTTTAACTGGATACATGTCCACTCATTCCTCCCAAGGGATGAATGGATCTGCACTATCTGCTTTGTACTGCAATTAAAATGTGTACTTATGTCATTCTGAAATTAAATTTGAAAACCAAAGACTTTTTTTTCAATTTGTTACAAAGATTTATAAAAAGAAAAAAAAAACTAGATGAGATCTCATTGTGAGCAACGAGTACGTCTTCCGTCTGATTTTTCGATAAGATGAGATATGATTTTGACTATGATCTTTGTTATAAGATAAAAATATATAGACTTCCCCAATTAGATTTCATTTTTCTGATTAATATAACATTATCAAAGAGCTATAGATGACATTCCTTGGCCCCTCTGAGCCCCTAGCTTGAGGGTCAGCCCCTTTTTCTTGATATCAAATGAAAGGTCTTGTGATTTTGAAAACGTTTTGTTCAAGAAATATTCAGAGATTTCCTTTCGTTGTGGAGATATGCTGAATGGAAATATTTAGGGGCCACTCCTCCAAGTCCTTAACAGGACCGTTTGACAAAAACTGAAAGGGTGCATATTGTTTAGAGCATTATTCTGACCATCATTTGTTCAATATTGCTCATCAAAATATTCTCCCTTTTCGAGATATAAAAAGCATTCTGACCCCTTGTGACCCCTTATTACGTAACATATGATCAGAATATTATCAAAAATTGTTGTAAATCGTTAAGATAAGCATCTTTGCTTCAGTAATATATAACAAATTATTGACTGTTAAAGAGTTATAGATGAAAGACTTTTGGCCGCTCTGAGCCCCTTTTTTGAAGGGTCAGCCCCATTTCTGGACATCAAATGAAAGGTCTTGTGATTTTGAAGACTTTTTATTCAACAACTATTCAGAGATTTCTTTTTGTTGTGGAGATATGCTGAATGGAAATATTTAGGGGCCACCCCTCCAAGATCTTAATGGGGCCATCTGACAAAAATTCAAAGGGTGAATATTGTTTAGAACATTATTCTGACCATCTTTTGTTCAGTATTGCTTTTCAAAATATTCCCCCTTTTCGACATTCTGGCCCCTTGTGACGCCTTATTATGTAACATATGATCAGAATCTTATCATATATTGTTGTAAATCGTTAAGATAAGCATCTCTGCTTCGGTAATGTATTACAAATTATTGATCGTTAAAGATTTAAAGTTGAAAGACTTTTGGTCTCTCTCAGCCCCTAATTTGAGGGGTCAGTCCCTCTTTCTTGATATCAAATGAAAGGACGTTTCATTCTGCACAACTTTTCTTTTATATATTTTAACAAATTCTTAACATGTATGAAGATATGAAAGAAAAGGTGTAAAATTTTGTGAGATGTTTCTGAGACATTTTTGAGCCCTACCGAGCTTCGGCGCCTTTTGCACTAGAGGGATTTGGACACCTGCCTGCAAATCTACAAACCTTCCCGTACCTTCACTGAAAATCTTGACTCAATATCTTAAGTCGTTTTGGAGGAGTTTCCAGGACAGGCCGACCCTCTGAAAATCAGAAAATCCTTAATATCTCGAGATAGAAAGTGACGTCATCAACGAAAAAAATTTCCAATAAGGTTTAGATCAATACCTATCAGATCTGAAAGTTTCATGAAAATCGGCCAAGACGTTACCGAGAACTCGCGTGCACAAAATCGGTAAGAATAATAATAATAGGGGAAAAAGAAACCGAACGAAAACAATAAGGTCTTCCGTTGGAGACGGAAGACCTTAAAAATTGTAATTTCGATGCAACATTTTTATAAGGTTTCTGCTTGACTCTTAGATTTGTAGGGACTATCTACCATAATTAAAACTTTTTTTTTAAAATACTTGATGGTTTTTTTTTTTTAGATACAATGTCAGACTGGTTTTAAGCTGCAATTCATATGGACAAGTGGCATGCTAATTCCAATATCATCCCCCCCCCAAGTATAATTAGTTTTAATTAATTAGTTTATTATACAATATCAAATTAATTTATTATACATTATCACATTTGTTTTAATTACTTTTCACCAAATTCATTTTTAAAGTTAGGCTAGCCCACAAAAACTATTTAATCCAATATGGTTCCTCTGCCCAATTCCCAAGAGATATAGATAACACCTGCTTGATCAGAGATGCTCTATCAGTTAGCTCCTCACACTAAACTCATTATTTCTCTCTAATTTGACAAGCAATTTTCTGTTATCAAAATTTTCCTTGACCAGGTGGAATTTCTCTTGTAAAATTATATTTGTTATAGATTGCTGTGAAGTATATAATGAAAAAAATAAGTATTTTCTTGATTTTAACATTTTTTTAATAAGGATACTGCAACACTTTTACATTTTTTGGGATTGTGTAATTTAATAGTAAAAAAGATTTTTTTTTAAATTTCACTTAAATTAAAGGTCACAGTGACCTTGAAATAGGTCGCGACACACCTTCTACCTATGATGCATAAACTGGCCAAGTTTGATGATTCCAAGTCTTATAGTTTTCTAGTTATGAGCCGGACAGGATTTTTCCATATTTGGCCATAGCCTCTTAATTAAAGGTCTGAATGACCTACTTTCAGTGCGCAACACACCTTCTACCCAAGAAGTATCAGCTGACAAAGTTTGATAATCCTAGGCCTAATAGTATTAAAGTTATGACCCGGACACGAGAAAAGCTAACAGACAGACAGATGGACGGACATGAACGCCATAACATAATACGTCCCGTCTAAAGACAGGCATATAAAAAGTTTGATATTTGCAAATTAATTTTTTTCCAAATGGATTATATAAGAAAAACTACCCTCTGGTATCTTGCACAAATGCCTGGTAAGGTACCTCAAGTTTTCGTGAACAAACAAGTTAAAGTAGCAATACTTCAATGACAAAATCTTGAAAAAAAATTATATATTATTGAGGAACGTATCGTCTGTCCTTAATATAGTCCATTTCCCATTCGTTTTTAACTTGCTACTCCAGGTAGAGTGAAGACAATCTCCTTGATTTGGTCAACCCTTTTGTGTGCACAGAAATACAAGAGACCCTTTTGTATAGACAACAATGCCAGAATTAAAGCAGTCTGTATGTCATTTCCATACACAATAGGTCATACATCAGTAATTTGATCGTTTTTTACACTTGAGTTACCTTTCCTCAAAACACAACATCATACAAATCAATTAATGATTATTTAATTTAAAATTTTTAATGATTTAATTAAGTATATGTATGGATTATACTGCATTTTGAAATTTCATTAACCTATAAATCTACCTATCAAATGTTTTTTACCATAGGTACAACTTGAAAAATTAGTTGAAAGGCCTAAATATTGATTTCAGTGAGAGTTTTGTTTGTTTTTTATCAGGCGAGAGGGTCAGTGCACCTTAAACTTATGATAGCACAAATTATATCATTGAACTGAACATACTTCATTATAGCTGCTCCAACATGCTCCTCTTCCCAGCGTTTCTGTTCATAATTGGGACCTTTCTCAGTAAGATCTTCCTCATATTTTTCAGATGGCTTTACGTCATCTTTTGGCATATAATATCGATTCACCTTCTCTATCTCACGAGCTTTGTGGTGATCTTTCGCTAGTGTTAGGACAGTCTTTTTATATTCTCTTTCTCTTTTTTCTCTTTCTGTAAGTCTAGAGATAATTTAAAGTCACCAAACAGCATTCATTAAGTTGAAAGACAAAAAAAAGTCTTAATTTGCTATATAGTGAAAGAATAAATTAAAGTTGTGTTCCATGTATGACTAATATGGATCAATAACTGCCATTAGTCAGACTCCTCTAGCAAATAGATTCACAGTTATTTTGTCAAGGAAATTCTTGAGAAACCATTTTTAAATTTCAAAAACATATTGAAGTAAAAAAAAAAGGTTAATAATATCAACTGATACTGCACTATGTCAAGTTGGGCACTTTAAAAAGAGTGTTCCCTTTTCATATTGCACATTTTGCTCAGATGAGCTAAAAATCTTACTTTGTGTCTCCAAATAAGTACTCCTCATCCATCAGTTCTGCCTCCAGGTCTTCCAGCTTGTCCACATTTCTCTTTTTGAGATAATCCCTTCTAGACTTCTTCCTCAACTCAGGGATGATCTTCTTTCTATCTTCTGCCTCCATCTCAAGCCTCTTCCTGGCTTCTTCATAAGCCTGAATAAATACAATATGAAACATACAGTACTATAATATCGTAAATTAATTTTCAATTGTCAGCTTTTTTTTTTTTAGATTTAAAAGTTAACCAGAAGTCTCTGAGGAGACTGTAGCTCTACTGGTTTGTACTTAAAGCAAAGAAAGAGAAAAGTAGCACTTGCACTGGGAAGAGAAGCAATTTGAAAGTATTTCACAGAAATTTCTATTTTTTTTAGTAACCATGGCAACACCAATATTTGAAATCAAATCTGATGCATAGAATTAATAATCTGAGTTTGAAATCTCTTTGTGTGTCAAGTTATATTGAAATCAGGTCAAAACTGTAGAAGGCGTAGCATTTTGAAGTATTTCATAGAAATTATTTTTTTTTTGCTCACCATAACAACAATGCTCACCAAAATCAAAAACCAGTTAAAAGAATTATGTATCTTACTGTATTCTTCTTGTGCGCCAAGTTATATTGAAATCAGACTAAAACTGTATAGGAAGTAGCATTTTAAATAAATGTCAGAGAAATTCCTATTTTTAGTAACCATGGCAACACTGTTCATCAAAATCAAAAACCGATGAATAGGATTATGTATCTTAGTGTAATCTACTTGGATACCAAGCTATATTGAAATCAGACCAAAACTGTTGGAGGAGTAGCATTTCAGAAGTATTTCACAGAAATTTATATTTTCAGAAACTATGGCAACACCGTTCATTGAAATCAAAAACCAATGCACAGGATGTTGAATCTTAGTGTAGTCTACTTGTACGCCAAGTTATATTGAAATCAGACAAAAACTGTAGGAGGAGTAGTGTTTTAAAAGTATTTCACAGAAATTTTTATTTTAGTAACCATGGCAACAATGCTCACCAAAATCAAAAACTAATGCACTGAATTATGTACCTTAGTGTAGTCTACTTGTTATATTGGAATCAGACCAAAACTGTAGGAGGAGTAGCAATTTGAAAAATTGTTTACAGACAGACAGACAGATGGACGGATGACAGACACCTTACTATTGCATAATCTCTTGTCGTCTCTGACCTGTAGAGCTAAAAACTACCAGACGAGTCAATTTTTTTCTGTTGATGTATTACCCAATTCTAGTCCTTTATAGTACTTTTTCTTTTTTAACATAATTATATGCCATTAAATGTACAGAATTTTCAACTTCTTTTAGCTTCATATCATTTTTGGAGTAAATGTCTGATGTGTAGAGTTGTCAGTTGAAACCCAAACACCCCTTAATACATGTGAAAATGTTATCTCTACTGTTATGTAAATTATTGATAGGAAAAGCCTTCCACATTGTAAAATTATTCTTATGGAATAAAATCATGCAACATGCATTCATGTTACAAAAATAATAATATTTTCAGGATTAAATTTAAACAAACTATTTCAATCCAATCAAAAAGTATGTATAACAAGAAGTCTGTGAGCCAATGCTCACTAATAATACCCCCGCTCTGATGTGAATACACAAGTTCGGTTATAGACAAAGACAGTGATAATTAGGATATTGACATTGGATTTGTAAAAACTGAATCCCAACATATGGCATGCCTAAACAAAGATTGTGCTAAAATTTGAAGCATCTGCGATAAGTAGTTGCTGAGAAAACCATGACCAAAATTTGCTATGTACATTTCGGACAGACGCACTGATAAACAGGAAGTTGACATCAGATTAGTACAAAAATAAATCCCAATATATGGCATGCCTAAACAAAGATTGTGCTAAAATTTCAAGCATCTGCAATGAGTAGTTGCTGAGAAAACTGCAACCAAAATTTGTTACGGACAGACAGACAGACAGACAGACAGACGGACGGACAGACAGACAGACAGACGGACAGACAGACAGACAGACAAGGGTAAAACAGTATACCCCCCTCTCCTTCGGAGCGGGGGTATAAATATTCTACACAGAGATAAACAAACAACAGGTATATCTGTCAATGTGGTGCATATACCAATCAGTGATACTGTAAATGCGGTTATTTTGACGAGTTGAAAAGTTGACGATTTTTTTTTAATGAAAATTGACGAGTGTAAATTTTGAAAAAATATTGAATCAAGATTTATGTATCTTTGATTTCGCCAGAAACTAAAGGACCAAAAGCCTGGTGGAAACATTTGCTTAGTTGACTTGACATAGACTTGAGAACGTCTACAATTAAGCCGCTTCATGCGAAATATGTCCTGAAAGTTCACGATGTTATTATAAGCAAAGACAGCGACTTCCTCATGAACTCATTTACAAGCGTTGGCATCAATGAAATTTAACTTTGCTTGTAAAAACCATCTACAGTGTATAAGATTTGATTGAATAAATTTTGTTTTCATTATACGAGACCAATTGCCTCGGGTGACAAAGAAGGTCAAGCACCCCATGATAATTATGCAAAGTTAGAATGTTTTGATCATGGATAATAGTAGTATACGACACACTTGTTTAGATTCAATGGTTTTTAAAACTATGATTATATATTTTCATAACTATTTACAAACAAGAGGCCCAGGGGCCACATCCCTGACCTGAGCACTCTGGCTAGGAAAAAGCAGAAATCAGTTCAGTCTTGAAAAGTTTTGATATAAAAGTGGTTCGAGGGGGGGGGGGGATTTGAACTTGAATCTATACTTCAAAGGGATGCTTTTGAATTAATATGACAAATAATGGCTTTGCTGTTCTTAAGAAGACAATTTTTATTGATATATCATTTGTATTCCTTTGTATAACTATGATCCCCTATTATGGCCCCTCTATTCCCCTGGGGGGTCATGATTTGAACAAAATTTGAATCTACATTACCTAAGGAAGCTTGCATTTAAATATGACTAATTATGGCTTTGCTGTTCTTGAGAAGAAGATTTTAAAAGGCTTGCTTTTTCCTATGTATTCCTATGTTAAACTTTGATCGCCCATTGTGGCCCCACCCTACCCCTGGGGGTCATGATTGGAACAAACTTGAACCTGCACTACTTGAGGGTGCTTCCATATAAATATGACCAATCATGGCTTTGTTGTTCTTGAGAAGAAGATTTTTACAGATTTTTCCTATGTATTCCTATGTAAAACTTTGATCTCCCATTGTGGCCCCCCCTATCCCCCCCCCCCCCCCCTGGGGTCATGATTGGAACAAACTTGAATCTACACTACCTGAGGATGCTTCCATATAAATATGACCAGTTATGGCTTTGTTGTTCTTGAGAAGAAGATTTTTAAAGAGTTTTCCTATATAAAAATTTGATCACCCATTGTGACCTCACCCTACCCCCAGGGGTCATGATTGAAACAAACTTGAATCTACCTACCTGAGGATGCTACCATATAAATATGACCAATCATGGCTTTGCTGTTCTTGAGAAGAAGATTTTTAAGGAGTTTTCCTATATATTCCTATGTAAAACTTTGATCTCCCCTTGTGGCCTCACCCTACCCCTGGGGGTCATGATCAGAACAAACTTGAATCTACACTACCTGAGGATGCTACCATATAAATATGACCAATCATGGCATTGCTGTTCTTGAGAAGAAGATTTTTTAAAGAGTTTTCCTATATATTCCTATGTAAAACTTTGATCTCCCATTGTGGCCCCACCCTACCCCCGGGGGTCATGATTTGAACACACTTCAACCTACACTACTTTAGGATGCTTCCATATAAATATGACCAATCATGGCTTTGCTGTTCTTGAGAAGAAGATTTTTGAAGAGTTTTCCTATATATTCCTATGTAAAACTTTGATCGCCCATTGTGGCCCCACCCTACCCCCGGGGGTCATGATTTGAATAAACTTCAACCTACACTACCTGATGATGCTTCCATATAAATATGACCAATCATGGCTTTGCTGTTCTTGAGAAGAAGACTTTTAAAGAGTTTTCCTATATTTTCTTAAGTAAAACTTTGATCGCCCATTGTGGCCCCACCCTACCCCTGGGGGTCATGATTGGAACAAACTTCAATCTACACTACCTGAGGATGCTTTCATAAAAGTTTCATATTTTCAAGCACAGTGGTTCTTGAGAAGATTTTTAAATGATGCCATTAATTTTTCACAAATTCATGATTATCTCCCCTTGGAAGAAGGTGTGGCCCTTCATTTGAACAAACTTGAATCCCCTTTACCCAAGAATACTTTGTGGCAAGTAGTGGTTCTTGAGAAGAAGATGAAAATGTGAAAAGTTTACGACAACGACGACGATGACGGACAACGGACAGATTTCGATCAGAAAAGCTCACTTGAGCCTTCGGCTCAGGTGAGCTAAAAAATTGAACATTATCTTTGATCTATTTCTAATGGGATAAGCCAAGAAAATTAAGCGGTAAAGTTTATAATAGTCAATGTTTGTGGTGACGCTACATATATGATGTGAAGTTTGACGAGTGGAAATTTTGACGAGAAAAGAAAAACCGTCAATATAGTCAAAATAAACACGTCGTCAAAATTACCACATATACAGTAACACAAAGGATGATAGATAATCAGGTGTAAATTTGTTATTTTCAAGCAATCTACGGGTCCAACACCAATTATCACCTGCACAAACAATAAAAACTCAAATTATCGTAAAATGAAAGAAAAAGTGAGCAAGCTCATACCCCACGCTCCCCCAAAACTCGACAATGCAACACAGAATGAATGGCACAGTGCATTTTAAAAACACAGTATAATTCAAAAAGGGGCATTACTTGCAAAAAATCATCACATCAAAACTTCTTGCATATAAGGACATTCAAATCTTTGTATGTTACAAATTTAATTGGGCTGAAGATTCTAGATAAATAATGGAAAATTTTTTTGGTAATATACAAATCTACATACACAATGTACCGGTATATTGCGCTGTTGCAGTAAACGCTTGAAGGTTCCAACATTTAAAAATACAGATGAATAAACTATAAATAATAAATTAAAGACTTGTCACCTGTTAGTAGTGTTTTAAAATATTAAGTTCCCTTAATATTGTAAATGGCATGAAGATTCTCTCTGAAGCATTCGGGGGAAAAAAATGAAAAGTTGACAATTTTTTGTTGTTGTATGACCCTTATCCACGAATTTATGTATCTCAAAACAGTGACTTTTACTAAATCCACGAAAAATTGATGCCCAGGAATATTAATGAAACCACAGTATATTACTTCACCCTTGTTCAGCTGATTCATAAAATACTGAGTATTTTTCATTCAAGCATGCATTCTTGAAAGAATTGCGTCAATGGTCATTAACACCTTAGTCTTTTGTTAAAAATCGGATTGTCTCAGGTAATTCAAAAAGCAATGTTTTAAGTAAGATATATGCCTCATACAATTCTGTATGAAAAAATATCAGTTTTTGGCCCTAAAGGGCCTCAAACTGTCTGATATTTTTTCATACAGAACTGCATTCGCATATATCCATTACAGATTCCTAGCTGTGTCATTGTTGGAAACCCATGGTCAGTCTGTAGCTGTGTCAAACAGCATGGGTTTTCAGCGATTACAGAGATTATATATAACCATGTGGCACCATAGACTAATAATCAGGAAACAGTTACAAGAAAAAGTGTTTATGATCTTAATATTTTAAAAACTTTACAAAAAGATGTCTATCAGATACTTTTGATCCACTAAGTTTCCTGACATAAAAAAATCTAAGATTTTTGAAACCCTCGAATTTTCTTGCTAATGCACCCATCAACGAGTTTGTTTCCGTACAGTTTTTGACATAATTGTCCCGAGTAATTTTGCTGCATCTACTGTAAATAACTTCTTATTCACGAGAACTTTATTTTCCCATAATTACATGAAGCATTCTGCTCAGGAAAATAAAGTTCTTGTGTATAATTGTATTACTAAAGAATATGTAGAACAATAAGGAGAACTCATGAAAATTTTGTCTCATTCATAAATTCAATATTACGATCTTTTGAAAATAAAATGTCGCAAACTTTTGGAGATCTACAGTATTACATAGATTTTTGTATTAATTAGAACCCATACCTTGTCAAAAGACAGGTTTAAAAAATTCCACTGAATCCTTTCTACCATTGGAACTAGAAAACTGACCAGTCAGCAAGGGCCCCGCCAAGGGGTAGAAATATAAGGGTACAGCTTACAGAATGAGAATTTTAATTGATTACAAAAATTTAAAAATATATGAAGAAAAATATGCATTAACAACTGTATTTATAAAATTTCAAGATAATTCTTAAATATCCAACAACCTGTAAAGAGTATTCCTGTATTTACATAAGGCAGTAAAAAACATCATATCTATAATAACTCAATTAAATGTATATTTAAACAAGAATTAAGCATGTGTTTTATAAAATGCCAGCCTTCAGTGAATACAAATATCATCCAGGCTTGACCTTAACTTCAAAACAAACAGCAGTTGCAGACAAAGGTTAATTTATCTTAAAGTGACAAATAAAGATAAGCCTGGAAAATTGTCTGCCCCCCCCCCCCCCCCCCCCCCCCCCCGACAAGATAATTAATCCCAAGGGATGAATTGTACTGCTCTCTCATCCTTTTCTTCCAAGTTTACAATAAGAATTCTTTCAGTAATGATAGAATGAGTTTATTACTGGACTACCCGTTAAAATTAATAGTATTCTTGAATTTACATATGGCAGCCAAAAAAAAAAAAAAAAAAAAAAGAATAGATAAATAAAATAAATAAAAACAAAAAAAAAACCTATATCTTTATGTATATCTTGTTTTTAGAATTCAATAAAATCATAACTCATTGTACATTTTACCAAAATAAAGTATGAACATTATTTAAATTCACATTTCAGAGAATGTAAACATCATTCAGAATTGACCTTAACTTCAAAACAAACTTCATTTGTAGACAGAGGTGTTAATTAATCTCAATTTGACAGAAACAGATAATGCTTTGGATTTTCTTCAAGAGGAAAGTTAATTAATCCCATGGGACTAGTTGCAGCTTTCACAGTTTACAATAGGAACATTCTCAGCAGTTATCTCTCTTTGCTCTGGCATTCATTCTAATGTCAAGTTAAGGAATCTACCCCACCACCCCAGCTCCAAACTGGATGACATAGAGAACCAAACTTAGCATCAAAATATGTCTTACTCCTCTTCAACCAACATACCAAATTTGAACTTAATTGGTCAACTACAAAAAAAGTTATTAGAAAAAAACAGAAAATTTGTGGACAGAAGAATGACAGACAGACAGACAGACAGACAGAGTGATTACTATAGGGCACCCGCAAATCCTTGCGGGGCCCTAATTATATATTTAGGGAAAATTCTAATAATGACACTGCAACCATGTACTACTGGAGGGTCTTGCATAGGTTGCATCAGTCCTTACTTTCTTCTCTGACTTTGACATGATAGATCTCTGTTTCTCTTTATCCTTCTCTTTCAAACGATTGGCAAACTTGTCTCTCTCATCTAAATCCTTAAGGCGTTCCTTCTCCATTTCTTCCTCTGAATTATCATCTGTTTCATCTCTGTCATCATCTATATCTAGACTAAAGGTAGAACAAGTATCACATTTAGAAACTCGACATAAAATTTTATATTATTTTATAAAATGATATTACTGTAAGACAACCTTTCATAATAAAAAGGTCAGAAAATATACCATTCAATAAAAAAATAAATAAAATGTATACAGATATAATCAGTTTGTGCACCATCTTTGCTGATCAAGTTTTTTTTCTGATCTGCTTTTCTTCTCACATAGCCTTGGCTTATTGTGCTATCCGAAAAAAAGGAAATATGTGCTCTCTAATCACAGCATTGATAGAAATAAATCTAGCTTTTTTGAATATTGAAGTATTAAAAAGAACTTATCACAAGCAGGTATTTAGCAATGTTTATTGTTATTTAGGGTGCAAGTCTGTATCTGCAATATAGCTATGTGCACATGAACTTATAAAAGAGTAAAGAACAATCCTTGAGTTATCCTCATTGTGTAAAGCTTAGTAATATATTAGCTGTTTAGTTGAACTAAATCACACTTTGGAAGAAAAAATCCCAGCTTTTGATAGATAGCACAATAGGCCACGAGTTTGTAAGAAGAGTAGCTGATCAGAAACACTTTGCTAGCAAAGATGGCTAGCAAAGATGCTTGTCTTTTAATTATTAATTGAATCAGACCAAAAACTGAAGAAAAAACATATAGAAAAAAAAACTTCAAAGAAATTTTGACTTATAGTAACCATGACAACACCATTTATCAAATTCTAAAACTTCTCTTCCTCACTACTGCTACTTACTTCTCTTCTCTTCCTCACCAATACTACTCACTTCTCTTCCTCACTACTGCTACTTACTTCTATTCTCTTCCTCACTACTGCTACTTACATCTCTTCTCTTCCTCCCTACTCCTACTTTCTTCTCTTCTCTTCCTCACCAACACCACTTACTTCTCTTCCTCATTACTGCTACTTACAGTGTACTTCTCCTCTCTTCCTCACCACTGCTACTTACTTTCTCCCTCAACAATACTACTTACTTCACTTCTCTTCCTCACCAACACTACTTACTTCTCTTCCTCACCACTGCTACTTACTTCTCCTCTCTTCCTCACCAATATTACTTACTTCTCTTCCTCACTACTGCTACTTACTTCTCTTCTCTTCCTCAACAATACGACTTACTTCTCTTCCTCACTACTGCTACTTACTTCTCTTCTCTTCCTCACTACTGCTACTTCTCTTCTCTTCCTCACTACTGCTACTTACTTCTCTTCTCTTCCTCACCAATACTACTTACTTCTCTTCTCTTCCTCACTACTGCTACTTACTTCTCTTCTCTTCCTCAACAATACTACTTACTTCTCTTCCTCACTACTGCTACTTCCAGCTCTTCTCTTCCTCACCAATATTACTTACTTCTCTTCCTCACCAATACTACTTACTTCTCTTCTCTTCCTCACCAATACTACTTACTTCTCTTCCTCACTACCGCTACTTACTTCTCTTCTCTTCCTCACCAATACTACTTACTTCTCTTCTCTTCCTCACCACTACTACTTACTTCTCTTCTCTTCCTCACCAATACTACTTACTTCTCTTCCTCACCAATTCACTTACTTCTCTTCTCTTCCTCACTACTGCTACTTACTTCTCTTCTCTTCCTCACCAATACTACTTACTTCTCTTCTCTTCCTCACCAATACTACTTATTCTCTTCCTCACCAATTCACTTACTTCTCTTCTCTTCCTCACTACTGCTACTTACTTCTCTTCTCTTCCTCACCAATACTACTTACTTCTCTTCCTTCCTCACCAATACTACTTACTTCTCTTCTCTTCCTCACCAATACTACTTACTTCTCTTCTCTTCCTCACCAATACTACTTACTTCTCTTCATCACCAATTCACTTACTTCTCTTCTCTTCCTCACTACTGCTACTTACTCCTCTTCTCTTCCTCACCAATACTACTTACTTCTCTTCTCTTCCTCACTACTGCTACTTACTTCTCTTCTCTTCCTCACCAATACTACTTACTTCTCTTCCTTCCTCACCAATACTACTTACTTCTCTTCTCTTCCTCAACAATACTACTTACTTCTCTTCCTCACTACTGCTACTTACTTCTCTTCTCTTACTCACTACTGCTACTTCTCTTCTCTATCTCACTACTGCTACTTACTTCTCTTCTCTTCCTCACCAATACTACTTACTTCTCTTCTCTTCCTCACTACTGATACTTACTTCTCTTCTCTTCCTAACCAATACTCTTACTTCTCTTCTCTTACTCACTATTGCTACTTACTTCTCTTCCCTTACTCACTATTGCTACTTACTTCTCTCTTCTTCACCACTGCTACTTACTTTTCTTCCTCATTACTACTACTGGATGAAGACTCTTGTTTTTTCCTGTATTGTTTCCTCTTATCCAATTTTGATTTCTGAAAATAAATGTATATTCATGTATATACCAGCATTTTAGACTGCCATAATGACTCTTTGTAATAAACAACTCTCTACTATATATGTGAGCATATTAAGGAGGAATGCCACACCAAAATTTATTTTAAAAGGTGTTAATCACTGTATAAAGTGACTCCCTGTCTTACATGACAAGCAACCATATACATGTATTGTTAAGTCAAGATGAAGGCCACAGCAAGTGTTTTCTTATTATGTACATGCATAAGTTTTTGAATAAATTCTGTTTCATATGAATACAAAAATAGGTCTGCTAATAATGGGTGCAATTGGTACCCATGGGTATTAAGACAGAGTGTTGGAAGACTTGATCTTCAAAAACTACATAGATTTTGTCAATCAAAAACCCGAGCATCTTTTTATTAATATCAACTTCGGAATATTTTGTGTAAAATTAGAATGTTTTCTTAACAAAATAATTTTGAAAATGACCAATGACAAGGTAAGTTAATTTACAAGTTCCATTTTTATTGAAAGAGCAGCTGTCTATGATGTCAAAAAGCAAAATTTATTTTGAAAGTAAGCTACCCAACAAGAACTATTTCATTTAAAGATACAAATCAATTACAATTAAGAGGCCAGATTCCTCTGTCCAATACATAAGATTATGAGATATAGATATGAGATACAGATAATCCATTAGAGATGATGTACCAGAAATCTCCTTACACTAAACTCACTAAATAATCTCTAATTTGACAGATCTTGCATCTCCTTGAAACACCTTAAGACCATTGCTTGATAATTACACCCATGGGACAAGAAGAATTTCTCTTATCAATTACAACAAAGAAACATTTAATATAGTTGTTATAGATTGCTGTATAGTATATCATGAAAAAAAAGTGTATTTTCTTGCTTTAACACTTTTAAATTAATAAGATAAGTGCAATGCTCCTGCATTGGGTTTGTGTAACTTAAAAACATAGTTTTTTTTTTTTAAATTTCACCTAACAGGGCTCTAACTGGTAACTAATATAAAGATTCAAAGATAATAAATTTAAAGATACCCTTGTCCCTCCTCTTTCAAAATTGGAAGGGAACTAGACACCAACTTCCCCAGACTACCCCCAGGGGTCCCTACATTGACTATTATTATAACTCATTATGATTATTCTATATAACGCGTTATCTGATTGGTTCTAGATTATCACGTGACAGGGCCATAAAACTTCATATTTCCCTGTCGTTGTCATGCTTTTCATCATATTCAACCTCTTCGGAGACCTAATACATTTTCCCGCAATAGTTACCGTTCGTTGAACGAAAACAATCGAAAGTAGTATACGTCACAATAGCCTGGTTTACATCGCAAAATTGCTGATGGACTTCTTTGTTTCAGTAACACTATGTTAAAATTGAAAGTGAATTTAAGTGCGGAATTTGAAAGATTATGTTTATTTTTAAAGTTTTTACTTGTTTCGGTATAATAAACAATTTATTGCATGAATGTTCGGGAAACATTAGGATTTATTCAGCCAAGAAATATCATATTCCCCTCGTGCAAAGCCCTCGGGGAATACGATTTTTCTTGGCTGAACAAATCTTCATATTTCCCTCACGATCATGCAATAACTGTATAATATCAGCATGATAACTGCTAAAAAAAAACATGATATACAGTTGAACTTCAGTATCTTGAACACTGATGTCTTGAACACCATGGATAAGTCAAAATGATTTAGATGTCCCAATGGTGAACCCCTTATTCTTGAAGTATTTTAACCTGGATATCTTGAATCCTTTGATATCTTGAAGTTTTTTCTTCATCCCATTGAGTTCAAGATTACGAGGATTGACTGTATTGTGTATTGATTCACATTACTATTTATTATACTTTCATGATAAATACTAAAATCTGATTGGTTTAGATGCATTTAAAAATCCATTATGTTACCCTCAGCATTAGCAACATACTTGACAATGGGTAATAGAACAAAATGTCACGTGTGTAAATCATGTGCGTACGGTTCGCCGTAGAATTCTCAAAACGTCATTTGTGCATTTGAAAGAAGCGTCAAACAAATTTGCGTCCGATTTGGCTTAATTGTAAGCAACAAACGAACAGACGAAAAAAGCTTGCGAGTGCAGAAATAATGAAACTTTTGATGATAAAGGACTCTTTGAATATCAAACAAACAATAAAGAGGTCGGTAAATTTTTTTCGAAGCTTTCTTATTGGGAAAAACAGAAGGGAGGAGTATGAAATCTTTCTAAATGTGAACTTAAATGACGATAGACAAATTTTATGCTGAAATCTTAAACAAATTAGACATTCAGTGTAATAAAATAAATCGTGCCTGTTTTGAAGGGTAACAGTCGAAATTGACACCTCTCAGAAAACCATTGTCAACCTCTGCTGACACGTCGGTTGACAATGGTTTTCCTCCGGGTGTCAATTTCGACTGATACCCTCCAAAACAGGCACCATTTATATAATGCGACCTTTCCTAAAAATGAGCAAAAATATGAGACAAGTCTTGGACTGTGTTAAGTGTCTCCCCGTCTTATGTGACTTTTTTCTCCAAGTCCTTTAAGTGGTCACCTAAGATAGTCCAGATTGTTATACCCCTATATAACAGTTCCTATGTAACTCTATATGAAAAAAAGTTCAGCATTTTGACTGTTCCGGTGACTATTGGACTGGAACTGTTAAAATCGACTGTTTAAAAAAGACTATTGACCGATGACATCATATGGCGCTAAAACGGTTTTTCATTTAAGTCATTTAGTTTTAAAAACAAAAAGATGTACGCTTCGCAGCTGCATAGGAAGAGGAAATGTAGACCATTTTAAAAACAAGAGGCCCAGGGGCCACATCGCTCACCTGAGCACTATGGCTAGGAAAAAGCAGAAATCAGTTCAGTCTTGAAAGGTTGAAAAGTTTAAATAAAAAAGGGGGGGTCATGAATTGAACAAATTTGAATCTACATTATCTGAGGATGCTTCCATTTAAATATGACCAATCATGGCTTTGCTGTTCTTGAGTAGAAGATTTTTAAATATTTAACCTATGTATTCCTATGTAAAACTATGAATTGAACAAATTTGAATCTACATTATCTGAGGATGCTTCCATTTAAATATGACCAATCATGGCGTTGCTGTTCTTGAGTAGAAGATTTTTAAAGATTTAACCTATGTATTCCTATGTAAAACTTTGATCGCCCATTGTGGCCCCACCCGATCCCCGGGGGTCATGATTTGAACAAACTTGAATCTACACTATCTGAGGATGCTACCATATAAATATGACTAATCATGGCTTTGCTGTTCTTGAGAAGAAGATTTTTAAAGATTATTCCTATATATTCCTATGTAAAACTTTGACCGCCCATTGTGGCCCCACCCGACCCCCAGAGGTCATGATTTGAACAAACTTGAATCTATACTACCTGAGGATGCTTCCATGTAAATATGACTAATCATGGCTTTGCTGTTCTTGAGAAGAAGATTTTTAAAGATTTAACCTATGTATTCCTATGTAAAACTTTGATCGCCCATTGTGGCCCCACCCGACCCCCGGGGGTCATGATTTGAACAAAATTGAATCTACACTATCTGAGGATGCTACCATATAAATATGACCAATCATGGCTTTGCTGTTCTTGAGAAGAAGATTTTTAAAGATTTTTCCTATATATTCCTATGTAAAACTTTGACCGCCCATTGTGGCCCCACCCGACCCCCAGAGGTCATGATTTGAACAAACTTGAATCTATACTACCTGAGGATGCTTCCATGTAAATATGACTAATCATGGCTTTGCTGTTCTTGAGAAGAAGATTTTTAAAGATTTAACCTATGTATTCCTATGTAAAACTTTGATCGCCCATTGTGGCCCCACCCGACCCCCGGGGGTCATGATTTGAACAAAATTGAATCTACACTATCTGAGGATGCTACCATATAAATATGACCAATCATGGCTTTGCTGTTCTTGAGAAGAAGATTTTTAAAGATTTTTCCTATATATTCCTATGTAAAACTTTGATCGCCCATTGTGGCCCCACCCGACCCCCAGAGGTCATGATTTGAACAAACTTGAATCTACACTACCTGAGGATGCTTCCACATAAGTTTCATACTTTCAAGCACAGTGGTTCTTGAGAAGAAGATTTTTTAATGATGCCATTAATTTTTCACGAATTCTTAATTATCTCCCCTTGGAAGAAGGCGTGGCCCTTCATTTGAACAAACTTGAATCCCCTTTACCCAAAGATACTTTGTGGCAAGTTTGGTTGAAATTGGCCCAGTTGTTCTTGAGAAGAAGATGAAAATGTGAAAAGTTTACAACAACGACAACGACTACAACGACGACAGACAACGGACAAATTTTGATCAGAAAAGCTCACTTGAGCCTTTGGCTCAGGTGAGCTAAAAACAGAAACAACAGAAGTGTTACAAATGTTGTGAAAACAGAATAAAACATCTATACCGGTCTATCCATTTCTTTTCTGTGAAAAAATCATGCTGTAAGTTGATTGAAATGCGCCAAAAATTTTACTGTGCAGCTCGAGAAATATATAAGACTTTTGAAAAAATATGTATGTTCAAATATGTATGGTTTTCATATGATATTTGATAACCAATCGAAATTATTTGAAACATCAATGACATAAAATGGTAAATGATACAAGGTTTAATTATAACCACAAATAATGTCAAATATAACGTTTTCTTTGCTCCGATCAATTGCGTAGCTACTATGTAACGTTATGCTTGTATGCCAAAGCATCCACATTATTTTTTAAATAAATAAATACAAAATGAATTACATGTATCTGATAAATGAATGCATTTCAATAAATTCAAAGATAATTTGTTTTGCATTACATGTATCTTCACCCTGCACATTCTAAAACTCGATCTGACACTCCTTAATATTGTAATATTGTCAATTTCTGCGGAACTTTCAAGGGATCCCCTCCCTGGACCTGTTGAAAAGGGGGTTAGTTCT